TTGAGATTATTAGACATGTGAATATAGGGAACTTTAAATATCAGAAATCATAATTATTTATCAAGATGAAGGAAACCTGGTACTGAACTTAGGGTTTTGAGGATGGAGGATAAAGGCACTCAATTAACAAAAGTACCACCATAAAAAAGTGAATGTTAAAATACTATATGTTCTCCTAAATTGATCTACAGATTCAACACAATCCCTATCAAAGTACTAACAGGCTTCTTTGCAGAAACTGACAAACTTATCCTAAAAGTCTTGTGAAAATTCAAAGGACCCAGAAGAGCCAAACAATTTTCAAAAAGAAGAAAGTTGGAGGACTTACATTTTCTAATCCCAAAACTTACTATGAAACTATAGTAATCAAAATAGTGCTGTACTGTCATATGACAGACCTATAGATTAATGGAATAGTATTGAGATTACAGAACTAAATTCTCACATTTATGATCAATTGATTTTCAATGAGATTCCCAAGATCATTCAATGGAGAAAGAAAGTCTTTTCAACAAGGAATGAAAAATTACCATATTACCCAGAAATTCCATTCTTTGTTACATACCCAAAAGAAATGGAAACAAAACTTGTACACAAATATTCATAGTAGCATTTTTTAAAATATCCAAAAAGTAGAAACAGCCCAGATGTCCATCAACTGATGAGTGCAAAAACAAAATATGCTATATCGATAAAATCGAATATTATTTGGCAATAAAAAGGAATGAAGTACGGATACATGCCACAACATGGATGAAACGAAACCTGAAACTATAATGCTAAGTAAAAGAAGCTAGTCACAAAAGACTATGTATTGCATGATTCCATTTATATGAAATGGAATGAAAATATACTAGAGGAAAACTCCTAAGGACAAAAAGTAGATTAGGGCTAAGAGACCGGCTTGGGGAAAAAGGGAGGGGGTAGTGACTGCTAAAGGGAATGGGGTTTCTTTTGGAGATGAAATCAATTTTTGATAATGCTCTAAAATTGATTTCTGGTGATGGTTACACACTGTATATATACTAAACCCCATCAAAGTTTACAATTTAAATGGGTGAATTGTATGGTATATGAATTACATTTTAATAAAGCTGTTTCAAAAAAACTAACAATACTATACATTGATAAGTAGAACCTGATCGCCAGATAAAAAGGGCTTTCTAGATGGGAGTATGCGGGTAGGTATTTTTCTTCTTTGAGGTTTTGAATTTAAGTTTTAGAAAACAAGTGATACAAAAGAAATAGAGGCACACCAGTTATTCATATAACTAAATAATAATAAAAGAGAAAATAAAATACCAACATTAACATAAAGCTTTATGGAATACAAAGCACTCGCACATACGGTCCTGCAGCCAAAAAATGACAAACCAGAATGAGTCACTTGTCCCTCCCCTGAGTTTAAACACGGAGATAACATATAAGAAATCAGAAGGTTGATGACTCTCAGGACACACTCAGAGGTTAATACAAAGTCTTGAAGAAACACTAGGAAAGACTGAAAGTGATTAGGACTCTTGTAGGGAGTAAATGGTGACCTGTATTAGAAGAGGACTGGAGTTCACGTTGTCCTGAGTGGACTGACGCCTACCCTGCCTGCTGTGGGGCAGAAAAGCATCAGAACCAGGCCAGTGCCAGCCCAAGGCTGCAAACTAATGACGGAGGAGTTCTAGAGCTCTGCTAGGGTGAGGGATCCTACAGCCACACTAGCAGGAGGCTGGACAACTCCTAAGCATTCACTTCTCCCCAGTTCAACTGCTGACCTGGCAATTATACCAGAGGGAGGCTACCATCTGATAATAATGCTTGGGAAAGAAGTACTAGATAGAAAGTTCTCTGCAGTGAAAGGGACACCCGTGGCAAATGAGCGGTGGTGCTTGAGCCCAGATTATTCATTATGAGCAGCTTCCTTACCTCCAACCGCTAAATGACCTACAAGAGCACAATCTAGAGTCAAGGGTATTATGCCTATTTTTAAGTAGATCTTAATGACAAAATACGGGTTAACTGAATAACATAAGAGTCAAAAAAAGACTGTAAACACCATGAAAGAAATAGAAAAATGAAACAGTCTATACTAAAGGATGGCAAATATGAAACTATTTAAATTAAATATAATAAATGGTTTCATTTCAGAAAAGGGAGGGTATTAGAAATACGAACCATAAACAAGCAGTTGTGAAGAAAAATCACTTGCAAGTATTAACAACAAAATATGTAATTGTTGAAATGAAGTCAATGAATGGGTTAAACAGCAGAAAAGATACAATCTAAGAAAAAAATTGTATACTGGAATACCAGGTGGAGGAGTGTTCCCAGAGGCATCAGGAAGAGATTAAAAAGTGGAAATAATAAGAGAAAAGCTATGAAATATAGATGGTACAAGAAGTATCAAGAGTATCTAATAGGAATTCCAGAAGGAGAGAGAATAGAGTAATAAATATTTAGAGAAATAGTAAAAAAGATTAGCCAGAACTGTACAAAGCTACAGGTCTGCAGATTTAAAGGGTACATAGAGTGCCAAATAGGATCATATTTACATATCAGAGAGAAATTTAAGAACACTGAAAAACAAGAGAAAATTCTGAAAGATTCCAAAAAGAAAATGGAGCTCATTAGTAAAGGACAAATAATCAGACTGACACCAGACTTCAGACAATGAAGTAATATCTTTAAAGTTTTGAAGACAACTTTGAAACAAAAATTTATATCTAATTAAACTATTATTTACATGTGAGGACAAAATCAAGATATTGGTATATAGGTATTTAAGGTCTCAAATACATAAAGTTTCTCTTTGAAGAAAATATTTGGAGGATTTACTTTAGTGACAAGTGAAAGAAATGCATGAGCAAGCAACTAGACACAAAAAGTAAAGGAGAGTAAAGGTGGTTCATCATTATTTAAATATGCTGTGATGCAGAAAAAGTGCACCTATAATATCTGGGTCAAAAATTCCAGGCAGTATTAACACAGGGTGGGAGAAACAGAGAGAGCTGAAAGCATGCTAAAGTAATAACTGTGTTTCAGATGGGCAGGGCAGGAATTTGTATTAATAAGCTTTAGACACTGATAGGGAAAAATAGTCATTTCTATGAATCTTGGTAAGTAAGGGATAACTACCAGAAACATAGGAATAGAGTATTTAATACTCAGTTTAGTAGAAGAAAATCAATTTATCCAAAAGAAGCTGTGAAAAAGAACCGAAAAGAAGCAAGGCCAGTAACAACAACGACAACCAACACACACACACACACGCACACGCACACGCACGCGCACGCACACGCACACACACACCAGAGTAGCTAAAATGAGCCTTGGTAGACCAGTAATTATTGTCAATGTAAACAGATTAAATGTACCAATCAAAAGACAGAAACACAGAGTGACCGGGAAAATAAAAAGCTAACAGTCTTTTCTACAAGGGATAGGTGTAAAACAAAAGGGTACAGAGAAGTTGGGAATAAAGGAATAAAAGAAGGACTACCAGGCAAATATGGGGAAAAAGAAAGTAGAGGTAGAACTTTTTAAACTCTACAAAATAAATTTAAGGTTAAAAAAACACCTGAGAATACTTTCTTGAACACTATTAAGCAGCAACTGACCAGCTATGATGATACACTGTTATTACCTTTGTTTCTTAAGTTTATGAGTTTCTAGGTCTCTGATTATTCCTTTTCTACCTTGGCCTGCGTATGTATCGTTTACATTCATTTGTCTCTTTTCACTTGAGGTTTAGCAGCATTTGAGAATGTTTTAAACAAGTGAGGAGAAAAAGGAAGTTAGATTCAAACAGTTCAGGTTTTCTATTTGTTAAAGGTTCCGTACTAAAGTTATTTGAAACTAAGGGTCAAAATGAAATCAAAGCACTTACTGTAAACTTAGAAATTAGAGCACTTCTCCCTAAGTAATGGAAGATATACCCATAAATTTTCTAATGTTCTAAGCTTCCATGGCAACCTGTGATCTAGAGTACTAAAAAATCAAGTACACAAAAGCTATTAATAAAAAAATTTCATAGAGAAATGCCCTCTAAAATCTGGTCCTTTGTATAGCATCCATGAGGTCTGACTTTATTTTTTTCAGAATGACCAAAAATTCTATGGACAAAATCAATTATATTTGTATCTCGATATTTGGAGGAGTCTATTTTTATATTCCTTGCTTTCCACAAAGAAAAGTAAGGTCTAAAAATAGCAACATGAAGTTAATCACAAAGGGTACTTTTTAAAAAGCTAATAAAATATTTCAATTGTATAGTATTTTTTAATCTTCCTGCTTAAACATCTTACCACATATGAAATATAAATTAAAAAGGCAAGCATACAATAAAATTACTATGCCTCAAAATGCTTTGATTAGATGTTAATCACAATCTGTGGATTTTTCCTCTTTGGGGGTTATTATTTTCAGAAATTTCATGCATTACTTCAGGATTCTAATATCGCATTTACTTGCACATAATCATTTCTCTTGCACCATACTGTATTTCTGCATTTGCAATAAAAGCATATACTAATACAGCCATCATATAAAAATATTCATTATATTCCACAATTCTCAATGTTCAAAAAGTGAAACTATGTAATTAAAATGCAACTCATCTCCACCCACCTTTTATAGCCAACTTTGTTAATAAAGAATGATGTGAGTTGTTAACTGAGGGGCACTAAGCACTCCAAGGACTAAATACAGGCACTGTGTTTCTTCCATCATACCTATATCTTAAATTCCTTCAGCTCCTATTTATCAGGGAAGGGCTGCCAGGTGAGCAGTCTGTCACTCTTGCCTAGACTAATAGATTCTCCAGTGGCTTTTGTTACAGCTCATGTCATATTGTTAAATCTATGTGCCTTGAAAATGGCATAACATATGTAGCTGAATCTTGTCAAGTCTAGATAATCAGACTCTGTTTGGCTTCACAAGCAGATGCAGCTTAGAGAAGTAATATACATATGCAAATCACAGCGGTCCCCTTTCAGCACCACTGTTCCTACCTCTAATGACCCTCGCAGAAAGTCTGTTTGTTCAGCTCCCACTTCCAGGGCTACATCAACAGAAGCAAAGGGACGGCTGGCCATCTGCTGTCGTTCTCGAAGCAGTTGCTGGAGGGGGTTAAAAATCACTTGTTTTAAAACATGTTAAATTCAACAATATCTAGTTCCATTTTGAACAAAATGGCATTCAAAATTGAGAAGTCATCTAATACACATACTCATATCTAGATCATTAAAAATGAAAATTATTTTCTCCCCATGGCCTGGGTTATATTTCCATAGAGGCTTTAAATGTATGGTGCCTCCAAAGAACATTTCCCCTGACCTCCATCCCACAAGCCTAATGAAATGTACTCAAAAGCACTTTGAAAACTTCAGACGAGAGCTGCTACTTAAGTAAAAAGTGCTATTATGATGATGGCTATGCCAAGTTTTCCCACTCAGAGTAACTCATGCTTTTGTCTTAGCTGAAAGCAAGTGACAGTAAAAATGTTTAAGAAAAGATAATCAAAAGTTGGCAAAATGCATTAATAGAGATTAAAGGAACATATCCCTCTGCCCAGACTAAGCCTTGTAAGTCATCAAGATCCCCTGTCAATTGCAGGAATTGTTATTGTCAGTGTTTTCAACTTTATTCAAAGCCTCTGTTCATTATTTAAATGTTCATTATTTAAATGAGGAATGATTAGTAGGTTGCAAAACATGTGTGCCAGGGCTTCTAAAACACTTCCGGATATTTGTTTCTTTCTGTTTGTGTCTCTTCTGGGCTTTGCTCAAACTAAAACCAATAAACCAGCAAGTCCCAACCAAGTACCCAGCTAATTTACATTTCTGCCTCTCCTTGTAATTATAATATTCATTAAGTCATGATAACAAAAAATTAATGACCAGCACTAGATATTGCAAATCTTGCCCTTCTCATTCTACACAGCTAATACAATTATTATTAAATATTAAAAGTGGATGAGCAATGCAATTAAATACTCTTTCAAATGAGAAGAAAATCATATCATCGAAGAAAGGCAAGATCCTTGAACACAATGAATGGCTTCATTATTCACACAGATTTTTAAAGATTCACTGGAAGTAACTTCAAATATTAACAACTGGTCTTTGAATGTAAATGTATGTAGCACTGTGATGCATCATTCATAAACTTCCCTTTCAGATGACGAAGGAACAAAAGCCAACGCTTGATGGTAGTTTATTGTTTAACATTTTTATTTTAACGCTTGTGACACAGCAGTAACAGTGTTCATGTAATGAGCATCTAAAATATAATTTAAGCCCTTGCTTTTATTATTAAAGAGAGAACATCTACTTGCTAATACGGGACAGAAATAATACAACTATTACTCAGTAGTAGTTTAAATTCTTAAATTATATGTATTTTTAGGAGTAATGAAGACATACTAAAATATTCAGAGTAAAAAGTAAATGTGATTTAAACAACCGAATTATTCAATTTAATATAAACTCAGATTTGTACTATTAAAAATACAGCTGCTGGCAAACAGAATCTTGTTTGTGTCTCTCTCAATAGGAGTGGCCAATTGATCTGAATACCGTGTCTATGCAAAATGCAAACATAATGTTACTCCAAATACCAAGGGATGCTAAGTGTAGAAGACACAATGCTCTTTTTATCTGGTAAAAACATAAACACACACACATACAAATATACAAACTGCCTTTGCTACCGTAATATAAAAATTCCCTTGAGAAAACTGTAAATTCTAGTTTGGATCTTAACATGATTTTCTAACATCTGTATTAAAATTTCTTCATTTGTACTAGTTTTCCTTAGCTTATAAATGGCATCTCACATAATTGATTTTTTTTTTAAATGAACACTTTCTCTTTCCTCATCTTACCTTTTCCCTACACCTAAAAGTAAAATGTCTACAAAATATAATTAATGAATACTCAATACCACAAATTGTAATATAAGTCTATAAATATTCTACAGTCACCATATTTGACAAAGAATAGATTCCTCCGGAAAATAATGTACTATTGTGACCCCCACCACTCATAATATATAAGAAAAATCAGTGATTGATACTTTTATTCATTAAAAAAAATGTACTATAGGATAGAAAGGCATTTTAAAAGATTCCAGTTTGTCTTCGGAGCTTTCAGTTTTCATCACTTTTTAAGAATTGAATGCTTATTACAGTACGCTTTGCAAAGAAGAAAAATGTTTTTCTTGTTCAGGACCATAACACTGTAGTTTGTAAAATAAGACACAGCGAAATAAAAATAATAAGAGCACAAGACAGTGTGCAGTAAAGGATACAAACAGGGAATTAGCTAAATGAATTCATTCCGGGTCACTTAGCAGACGACTAGTTCGAGGACTTTGGCTGACATTCTAACTTTGGGAAACTAATGCAAATGTTCTGACTGGGAAACTCAGGGAGGGTAAGTAATTTTATCCTAAAACACTCTTGCTTTGATATGATGGCCCTAAAATAATAAAATGGAACAAAGTGAGATTCTCTTTGCTACTAAGTCCCTGGCTCTTAGCCATATCCTTAACAATTGTCCTTTCTCTTGCCAGTTAACATCTATATGCATTACTTCCTGAATTTTGTCCCTTCTATGTCAGAACAAAAGAGATATAAACGATATGCTTACAACTTAAATTCTGTCAAAATTTAGTGGAAATATTGACAGAAAAAATACGTAGACTCTGGAATTAGGACCTGTGTTTGAATACCAGTTTTTCCACTTTGTAGCTGTTTGACCTTAACCAAATTATTTAGACCTCTCAACGCCTCAAATATTCTCATTGCAAAGTTGGGCTAATAACAGTGCCTACACCTAGACCTCAGAGGACTTGTTTTGAATCCCAGCTTCCCCACCCATTACCTATTGTACCATCATCAAATTCTGTAGACTTTTCTAAGGCTTTTTTTTCCCTCTCTATAAACGGGAATAGCGATAATATCAGAAGATTGGGACTAACAAGATAATGCACTTGCACCGCTCAACACAGAATCTAGCACATTGTGAGAACTCAGTAACGCTTCATTGGTACAATTATTATGTTAAATTTCAAGCACCAATTTTGTCTTTAAAGATGGCACGCTAATTACCACAGGCCCATTTTCTTCAGCACTAGTGACATATTTTGCTCTATTAGTCTCCCTTTTAACAAACGTTGCAGATTTATGAGACAGTTGGAAAATGTCATGACTGTGGTAAAATGAATCTAGATTTGGAACTTTCTGCCATTTGTGACTAAGAATGATAAAAACTCAGCCTAAAACTTATGGGGAAATATAGAGTACTTCCTTAAGAACTTTCAAAAATTAACTTATTTTGTGATTATGATTTTTATATAAAATGAAGTTTGACATTTTATATATAGATAAGAAGCCATATAACAGATGATTTATTTTATAACTAGTCTGCAGTTGCCAATTTTTTAGGAGAAAGAAAAGGCCAAAAGAACAAATGGATCATAATACAACAGATTATAATCATGTTGCCATAAACATTGTTGTGCAGAACATTTTAAAATCATGGATGTTCTTAGTGTCATGTTTGTTATCTATAATAATTGTTTTATTATTCAAAATCTCTTACAAAACAAACCATGAAATTAAAAATAATATGAAAATCCATGCTTAAATTTGGCAACTGGGAATGGTCATTGATTCTATCAAATGTATATATGAAATGCTTCCATGCAATACTACTACTTCGAATATCGTATCATTCCCCAAAAGTTCATATTAATCACCTTTCCAACCACTGCGAAGGCTACAGCTCTAATGGATTTCAGATAATAATCCTTAAAAACACACACACTAAAGAAAACAGTAACTACCTCTGTTTCCAGTTGTCTTCCTATGTCTTTCCTCCTGTGTCCAGGTTCTATCTGTCCTCCCCCCATACCTCCAAATGTCCTTCTACTCCATCCAAGTTCGAAGTGATCATCTCACCTACAAATTATTTATGATATTAGAGTGGCACTATCTCTTTAAATCTTCATGCTTTTCTAAAATCTTTAAGGCAAAAACTATTTTATATTTGTTTTTTTATTCCCCACAGCACTTACTTTGTAGTCAAGAGTATTTGATGAATGAACAATGAAGGACTGACTTAAAGTATAGAAATCTGTATCATCTGAATGTGATTGAAGGCAAGTTTTTTTTTTTTTTGCAGTATGCGGGCCTCTCACTGTTGTGGCCTCTTCCATTGCGGAGCACAGGCTCCGGACGCGCAAGCTCAGTGGCCATGGCTCACGGGTCCAGCCGCTTCGCGGCATGTGGGATCCTCCCGGACCGGGGCACGAACCCGTGTCCCCTGCATCTGCAGGCGGACTCTCAACCACTGCGCCACCAGGGAAGCCCTGAAGGCAAGTTTTGATAAAACATTTTAATTGTGAAAAAACCTTTAAAAATATATGTCCTCCGATATTCTAGAATTTATGTCTTATGCTCAAATCTAACTGGATATTCATTTTTTTAGAATGGGCAATTTTGTGGATGCAAGAAATCACTATCAGGTTTTTTATTTCTCTTCATCCACTTTATTGCAATACTGTAAATATTATGAGAAAACTGCCACAAAGTCATCATAATGCATTCATATTTTAATAGCAATTATTCCTAAGATTTTTGAAAAGTATAAAAGGAGCAATCAAAATGATTTAGTCATTATTCCTGAGCTTACATAATAAAATTTACAAGGAGTTTGAATTAGCGATTAAGTAACATTTCATGAGACTATTTCTATTATTAACACAAACACATTTAACATAGAGGAATATAAGTAAAAAACCAACTTTGGGTTTTTGGCGCTAGGATGGTGTGAGGAAATAAAGAGAAGTGGCAACATCTCTTTGCATCAGTGAATTAGGAAAGCATGATATTCTATCATTTTATAACTAAATCTGCAAGGCACAAGCTTATTCAGTTTTTCTTCATTGTTTGAAAGCAAAGTGTCCTCAATTGTCAAATGGCCACAGCAGATTTTCAAGGCAGGTTGTTCAGGTACGCAGGGTTGTTGTTTGAGCAGTAATGTGTCAAAAACAAAACCTACCTTTCCTCTCATCAAGCCTGCTACCAGACAGAGGAAGAAAAGAGGAATAATGG